AAATTAGTATAGAAATTACATATTTTCAAAAAANAAAAAAAAAAAAAAAAGAAAATCAATTACATACCCATTAACATAAATAAGTGCTGTTTGAAGTGATGATCCTAATGAAACGGATAAGAATTCCTCTGATTGATCATCAAATATACCACCCGGAATGGTATTTAATATCTCCTATAAATGGCAAAAAAAAAAATGAAAAATCAATAAACAAAAATAAAAAAAAAAAAAAATTTCAAGAAAGCAAAATAATAAAAAATAAAATTACTAAAACGAAGAATGAATATAACTTTGACTTTTAATCATTCTTTTTTTCAATCAGATAACATCATTTTTAAAATAATTATTTCAAACTTATTTAATATTTAATAATAGTGAAAATTTTAAATTCATTGATAAAATGCAAAATTCAACTTGGCATGTTATATTTTGATAGCAATTAAAAGTTTTAGATTTGCTTTTTTTTCGAAAGTTTTAGATTTTTGCTTTTAGATTGATAGAAATTAAAAGTTTTAGATTTGCTAGCGATAATATATTGATAGGTGAAATGGTAACGGGCAAAAAAAAATTCGTATATTTGTATATAAGAATAATGTAAGCTTTTGTAGAAAAATTAAATTCAATAATTAATATTCATCACATAAAAAAATAATTTTATTAAATAAATAGAAAGAAAAAACTAACTTCATATGTATTAAATAAAAAAATAGAAAGTAAAAGAAAACACATAAAATAAAAAAGTAACTTTTGTTCTTTTTTTTTCTCTCAGTAAGAAAAAAGAAACAATGGATTAGTGAGAATTTTTGTCGCATAATTTTATAAAACGAATTAATCAAAATTAAATTAAGAAATTGTCATTAAAAAAATAACCTTTATAGTAGTAATGATGACATTTGCATCACAATATGTTAATTCATTTCTTACATATTGTTTTCGTTTCAATTTAATTAGTAATTTCTGCACTTCTGCAAATTTTTTTTTTTCATATAAAGGAAAGGGAAACAAAAACAAAAGAAAACAATAATACGATGAAAAAAATTTATAGTATATTTCAAATTTAACAAAATTGAATTGGTACAACCAAAAATTAATCAAAATTTCTTGTTCAAATTAAGTAGAATATTTGGTTTCCTGCGCAAAACCAATAGTTCTTTAAAATATAAAACCAAAAAAAAAAAAAAACTGAAATATCGCTCGACATTCTAATTTTTTAATGAAGTTAAAATTAATTACGCTAATATACACTTTCCAACAATTCTTACCTTAATTGATGATTTACAATTTTTTCGTGAAAATTCCTTTGTGAGTTTTCTCCTTATATTTTTTAAATTGAAAAATTAAAGAAATAAAAATTAACCAGGTGTATTGGTATATCGTAATCCAAGACGTCTTCGCATTTTTGGATCAACTTTGAGGTCACAAATCATAGCCAAAAAATGCTAAAATTTAAAGGAATAAAACAAAATTTTAACCACAATCCTAACAGTTTTTTTTTTTTTCGAATTAAGCTAATAAAGAAATGTAAAATTATTTCAAAGATGCAAAAATATTTTGAATAACAAAATTTAGGTATTTGAATAGCAAAATTTAGGTTAGGTAACTTGCAAGATTTAAAACTGCTTTTGGTTTTTTTTTTTGTTTCCGCAACTTCAAACCCAATATTTCAATCAATCAATTCTGTTAAATGTCGATATTTTTGCAAATATTTCAATAGAAAAAAAAACTAAAGCTTATAAGGGTTGGATCGATTAGAAACAGTACGACGGATGGCCGACCTTACAGTATTATGGTGGTTATTGTAAATAAGTAAAATCCAATTTATAATGGTACTATTATAAATGATTAATAGTAAGTATCGTGATAATGTTTAAATTATCATTCATAATTGGGATTGGAATCGGAATTGTTGATAGTATCGTGATTATGATCATTACCATGATTTCTACTTAAAATTGATAAATTTAAAAATTTTAGAATTGATAAAAGTATTCATGATTAAGATTTGATCATGACTTGATTTTCTTTTCTTTTTTTTTAGGAAACAATTTAAATAAACCTCAAGAGTTGGTTGAGCGGCAACTTTGTTAGATGACATTTTATGAAGTGTTTGTAATTTAGTTGTCGCAAAACAATCTTGTTTATCATATCCATTGCTATTATTAGTGATGGTAGTTGCGTTAAGTCCAAGCATAAGTTGCATTGATGAAGTTAGCTTTTCATCCTATGATGTAATTTTATCATAAATGAGAATCGAAATGAAACATTCGGGATCTTCACGACCAGAATGTTGAATTAATAATGCAAATAATTATGCATAAATAATTACATTAAATAATTATATTTTAGTACCACATATATGTATATTTGTACAACAAATATATATATATATATATTGATATATTTATGTACGGTTTCTCTATCAAATTTATTTTTATAACTGCGCTCAATTTTTCCTCAAATTTGGAATAACCTATCCGGATAACAATAACAACAACAACAACAAATAAAAACAACAACAAACGACAATAACAACGAACAACAACTACAAATAACAACAAGTAACAGAAACAAATAACAACGAACAACAATAAATAATAAACAACGACAGCAACAACGGCAACACCACAACAGCAATCACAAAAACAATAACGAACAACAACAAACAAAAAGAAATAACAACAACAAACAATAACAAACAACAAATAATAGGAACAAACGACAATAAACAACAACAGCAACGGCAACAACAGGAAAAAAATTGACAATAAGATCAATAACAAGCAAACAATGATAACAAACAACAACAACAAATAAAACAACAAACAACAATAAGCAGCAACAACAATAACGGCAACAATACAACAGCAACAGCAACAACAACAACAACAACAACAACAAGTAGAACCATAAATGACTACAATAAACGATAACAAATAACAGCGAACAACAACAATGTTAAATAAAACAGTAATAACAAACAATAAAAAATAGCAACAGCAAACAACAACAACAAATAATCGCGATTAAAATTCTTTTTTTTTTCATTATCATTCTTTTATTGCTTACAAAAGTTAAACAGAAATTATGTCTTGTTTTGTGCTCGTTGATTTCTTTCAATTTCATTTAATAGTAAAATTATTTAGAATTTATAATTTCGGAAGTTTTCATTGAATGTTCTCGAATTTTATCCCTTTTAGGTCAAATATTACGATCACATGTAATATATATATGTATATCTTTTAAATTAAATGATGAAATTAGGTTTGATCAGATGACACTCATTTGTATACATCATTATCTTATCAATTTCAAACAGTTATAAATGATTTTCATTTTTAGATAATTTCTCGAAATGATATCAAATGTTACAATTTAACCAAATCATCTATATAATTTATCATAAAATCTGTCGACGAAATTTTCAACAAATTTACGTACCTTTAAATTGCTTCCTCACTTGTCTTTTACGTTGACACTTATTTAAATGTTCTATTTAACATTTCAAAAACGAGCACAAATAAACATTTTGATAGATTTTATTAATAAAATGAGAGACAGAAATACAATATTATTTAAGTGGCATTTTTAAGGACTCCTTTATTAGTGTATTTACACAAAATTTGTGTAATTTCGGTTTCGATTTTTTTTTTAAAAATTTATTCCAAATCATTTCAAAGCAATGCTTGAATAATTTCCGAAATTTCGAAAATTTTTCATTCAAATTTTCCGATATAAAATAAAATTTTATGTGACTTTAAAAATTTAAAATGCTTTTTAAAAGCAAGAAATTGGTAAATCTTTCAATTGTCTAATAATGGTTTAAGTCAGGAAAAAAGAAATCTCTAAAAATTTAAAAATTATCATTCAACAAATAAAATTCAAAATTTAACTGCGAAAAAAATTCTCAGTTGAAAAAAAAGTGAAAATGGAAGTGTATTTGTGTATTTGTCAAGAAATACTAATTACATGAACCAAATACATCAACATATATCGAAATTAAATTAAATCTTTTTTTTTCAAATTGTCTTTTAAAAGTAAGGATATAATTATGCTAAATATTCCATTTTAGAAAAAAGCAATTCTATTTTAATTTACCAAGCAAAAGTATTTTCTAGTGAAAGAAATTCGATAATAAAAAGAAAGAAAAGGAAATAAATAAATAATCAACAATTTGTTTATTATTTTTGTAACAATAATTTATAACTATTCTAACATTTATAGCTGTGATAATTTTAATTATTATAACTATGAAAATGGCAAACTTAATTATTTGCAACTTAAAACTATCATAATTAATAATTAATGCAGGTATTTTGAGAATGAATTGTGCTAGATAATAAAAGAGAAAAACAATTGTTACCTGTATTTTAGGTCGCATTCTTTTCCCTTTTTCTTTTCGAGAAAAATTTTTCCAGAGAAATAATTTTACTGTCGTTTTACGTCTTCCTTTAGTTTCCCCGAAGTTTTTTTTAAACTTGATAACAGATTGCGCTGTGCAATTTTCCAAAAATATGAAATTACAATATAACAAATATATTTTGATCGTATAATCAAATTTTCAATCGAAAAAGAAAAATGATTTGGAAAATGATAATGACAACTTTTTTTATTGAATAAATTTCAGAAAAATTAATTGACAATAAAATTAGGATAATGATGGCACTATGTTGAACAAATGTTATTATTCATCAAAAAAGATAAAATGGAAGGTGTTATAATGATAAAGATGATAATAGTTATTTGTATTACTGTGTAGTAATAATGATAATAATGATAATAATGATATATGTGTTATTAAAGTGGTAACATCAATAATAATGATAATGATTGTATGTGTTATTGTAGTAGTAATGATAAGGGTGATAATAATTGTATGTGTTATTAGAAGCAATAATGATTAAAAGTAATAATACTTAGTAATGATAAGGATGATGATAATTGTATTATTAAAGTAGTAGTAATGATACTAATTATAGTAATTGTTTGGGTTATTGAAATAGTAATAATGATAACAATTATAATGAATAAAGAAAAGAGTGAAGAAAAGAAAAGTGAAAAATAAACCAAATGAATTCATCATTAGAATGGATGAAAAGAACAAGTTCCGTTAAATTAAGCTAATTATAGTTGAAAATTAACACTAACAATGAATAACCCATTATACCACACATCTTCTTACGACAAATTGCTCGATTAATGTCCGATACCCGTCCGATTAGATGTCGTATATTTGATCGGCAATAGTTTGTAGCAATGATAATGGTAGTAATTTTGTTGTACAATTTGCAATAATGAGAACAATAAACTACTAACATTTCAGCACAATCATTATCATTCATACTGCTCCTTTTTATAACCTTAATATCATTATTATTTATTAATCATCAATAATTTTATATCAATTTCGTAAAATTAATAAATTCTGGTTTAAGACAAACTTATAATCATTACTAATAATAATAATTAATAATAATAATAATAATAATAATAATAATAATAATAATAATAATAATAATAACAATAACAATAATAATAATAATAATAATAATAATAATAATAATAATAATAATAATAATAATAATAATAATAATAATAATAATAAGTAATAATAATAATAATAATAAATAATAACAATAATAATGATAATGATAATGATAATGATAAATGATAGTGATAGTAATAATAATAATAACAATAATAATAACAATGATAATAATTAATAATAATAATAATGATAATAATAATAATAATGATAATGATAATGATAATGATGATGATAATAATGATAATAATAATAATAATAATAATGATAATGATAATAATGATAATAATAATGATAATAATAATAATAATAATAATAATAATAAATGAATAGATAATAAATAAAAACGACAATAATAAAATATTAATAACTTTGGATGATTGATAGTTTTTTGCGCCATCGTTTAAGTAAATGTTTACATTACTTCTCCGAGAATTTGTATAAATGTGTACGCGCTCGTTCGCTTTCTTCGTTTCCTCTT